CAGCTTGTATACAAATATAAATACTTATTTTTACGTAGTTTGTGTTTTTTGTAATAATTATAGGGAGAAATATTACATCAGCAATTATTTTATTACCCTTTATATTGATTTCTGGAGATTATCCAAGGTGCTTCGTGATCCATAATTGGGTCCCAAGCCTAACTTTGGGAACCAAAGCGCAGCTTTTGACCCACAAAATAACAGTAGCAGAGACTTGTGCCCCCAGCTAGTTTTGGATGGTAAACATTTGTATCAGGTCAACAAAACATGGGCATAGTGACAATATTATCCATTTTAAATATACTAACCTCACTCCTTTGTAACAACTAAGGCAAAAATGTAATTAACTCAGAAAATATTTTCAGGACCCCACCTTGATGTTTTGGGACCCCACTTTGGGTCCCGACCCCAACTTTGGGAAACACTGTATTAGAATACAGTTTTCCCCTGCTTCCTCTGAACCAACATGTGTCACTACTATCTGCTATAATCAATTCTTCAGCAGGGAGACAGTCATCACAGAGGAACCCTCTCTGGAGAGCATCGTGACCCGACCCTGACAGAGAATCAGAAATGGCCTTGCTGCATTGTTTCATCTGAATTACAGTCCTGGATGGTGCAGTGAAGGCCAAGGGAGAATAAACCTGAGTTGTAGAGTCATGATCGAGGAGAGCYATCACAGACCACCAACATCCTGCTTTATAGTTGCATCTATCACTATTAAGTACTGCTGCCTTGGGTCGTGACTGTATGATGCTGATGCAGAAGATGAAAGACCTTGGTGTTTTGTCATTTCAAAGCATCTTTTACTTAAAGCTAGAGGACAGAAAAAACTAGTAATATTTGTCTGTGAGATGTGGTGGGTAAATAAAAAGGCTTAAAAATGTCTCAGGGCCCAATGTTGAATTTAAGGTTTATGATCCATGTGGGTTTGAAACAATCTTTAACTGGATAACTAGGTGGGATCCATACATGTTTCCATTTTTATTTGCCAAAACCAAACAGACACTGTTTGACTTGGACCTTTACATCAGCTGGAGCGTATGGACCTGACCTAGGTTCATCCAAGTTACTGGCCCTACTCTACCCATCTACTGAGTGTACCTGTGATGTTTTTCTTCATTGACCATTCACTGTGTTTAACCCACCTGTCTGCTTTATTCAGCATTAAGTCTAACAGTGTGTCTTCAAACAAACACGTTGAAATTCTTCCTTTTCACATTGAAATCATTCAGTTGGGGTCTTTATAAAGTGGAACTGCAATGCTTTGGTCTGATTTCCTCCATATTGTAACTCCACAAGCCTCTTGTTTTGACACATTCTCTTTAAATGGGGCATTTCACACCCGCCATTTTTGTAGTTCAACAGAGATACGATTATCTGGCTAAATTCAAATTTTCTGTGCTCCTTAAGACTGTAAGTACACAATAAAATGCATTTAATGGTTAAAAAGGTGGATTTTACCTGATATGTCCTCTTTAAAATATAACGTACTGTATTTAGCATTGGGTGTTTAATAACACAGCAAAAATGATTCTTTGAATGAATCTGTTTATATTCTTTACAAGTGTTTCACATTGCAAACGATCTGGGTGTCCTATTAATTGCGAGTGATTGAGCTAATTGAGTGAAGTTTTCAAACAAAAGAGGGCCCATTTTCATTATTATTATTATTATTTTGATTATGCCTAAGCAATTATAAAAAAGGATAAATCAGCAAATAAAACATGAGGAAAAAAAGCATGCAACACCATTAAATGTGCTGGAGAAGCATCCAAACTATACGGAATGTGCACAGACAACAAATCTCTCTCAAACGTCAAAAAAAGGAGTTAAATTTAGACTTTTGGGGGAAAAAAAGGCTCAACTTTTTAGACTGAGTTACAAGATGTGGCTACGTACAAAATGAATCAAGTCTTCTAATGTGGTGGCGCTGCAGCTCCTGGGTGATCAGTTTGCTCAAAAACATGAAAGAACTGTTTGAAATGCAGACATTTCACATTCACTCCTGCAACATCTTTACTGCTTAGTTATTCCTGTCAGTCTCAGCTAAATGCAAACTTCTATTTGACATCTATGACAACATTTAGACATCTACAAAACTTTCCCCTTTAGGTTGATTTGAGCCCAATTTTAGCCTAATTGCTTAAGAACCATTTAAAAGCGTTTGAGTCTAAAAGTGCTTACTGGGCAGATAAAAAGCCCGTTTAGAGGTAATGGCTCGTTTGACACCCGTTGACCTGAGTAGTGTTAATGTCAGACACTATCTTTGGGCCTGAATGGGCCTCTAAAGTATGGAGCATCTACTCACATGTAGGCTTAGAAAATCAATATAATGTTGTAGCAGAAAAAAAATCAAACATGATGCAGTGATGAGCTGCAGATGAATTATCTAAAACGTTAAAAAAAAATAAAGAACAAAAGGTGTAGAAAAAGCTTCAGTCCACACCTTCATACTGAATTAGATTTATAAACAACAGCAACAAGCATTTTCCTTCGAAGTAGCACCACTTTAAAAGGATGTGAACATTTAGAGCAATAGTGTGTGCAACCTGCAGGGCTTTTACTGCCACACATCAACGTGAGCCTTTTTATCAAGCTGGCAGCAAAGATCCAGCTAACAAGCAGAAAAGCTGTGACAGAAGTGCAGAGAGCAAAACCATACGTGGATCTCGTGTCCTCACAGAGCAACACACTGCTCTACAGACATTGAGCTCGCTGGAACTGCAGCGTGTCTCCATCCAAAGATTACACGGCAGCCGTTTGTTAACTATCTGAAAAATCAGTTTAAAGCTGAAGTTTCTCAAACAGTCATTAGTTGTGCTTTGAATTGAATTCTGCACCACCTGCTGCTTGTGCATATGTCCACACAGTGTGTGACTTCAAGCTGCTTTAATTAAGAGAGTCACCCCTGCTGATAAAGATCACTAATTCAAAAAAGAGATAAAATTTAGCAAGTGACTTCAGCACATTCAGGCAGGGATGTTGACATATCGTCATCAGCATCAGCCATTTTCTTCCCGACCACAGTGACCAGATTACACAACGCTGCACTGAGGGTGACCTCGCTAATTATTGCTGTCGTTTTGTTATTTCAACGAATTCCGAGAAACCCTGCTGACGGCAAATTCAACAGAGAAATCACCTGATTGTTTTTCCAGTGATCTCTTAAATAGGCACGCTTATGTGAAGAACATTATTTTATCTGCTTTTGTTCCTAATTTTATTATGATCTGAGACGTCAGTTTATTATAGCGCATGTTGACACTCGTCTTGGTCGCAACACATTTTGTTTTTGGTTGAGGGTCTTTGTCTACAAAACAAATGTCCACATGGTTTGTATTAAGTGGTATTCATTTTATGGATTTCCAGGACACAGCAAATGGATTTGATGTTGCAGTTTGGTGACCTGAGCCTTTTTAAACATGATTTTCCACATTTTCGGCCACTTGTACTGCATTTCTAATGTAGTTTTGTTTTTACAATACAAGATGCTTCCAGAAAAAATGCAGAAGGTAAATCCTTTTTGAAAATTTCATGGCAGATCCACCCACCCACCCCCCAGATCAGACCATAGGGGAGAACTGGGAGAGTCCCCCCAGCGACCACACACACAGCCCCCGGGGCCAGCAGCGACAAACTCATGGGCCCCACCGGCACCCGCCGTACCAGAGCAGATCCAGGAAAGGGCACAGAGGTCCGGGCCCCCAGGGCGCACCCCCTCCAGGCCAAAGCCCAACAGGGCCAGAGACCCCGAGCCCCAGCAGGCAGTCACCAGGACAGGCCGGCACACACCCCAGTGCCCAGCCCCAGACCCCGGGAACCCCCAGCACGCCGGCGGCCAGCCACACACCCCACCGGGGGGCTGAGTAGCAGCAGGCCCCCAGATAAACCAGCAGGAGGGGCAGCCCGGACCGCAGCCTGACAAATACCCAAACATACACAATCGGATCTTCCCGTGCGGGTGCCCCTTGGGGCTCTGTGCTCGGGATCCCTCTCAGATCCTTGGGCTCTGGTCTTCCCTATGTCTACCTCGTGTCTTGGGGGTTGGGTCTCCGGTCCTCCACAGTCACTATTAAATATTCCATTGGAGAAATCTTGTATATACACGCATGTTCACAACCGCTCACAGACAGGTGTTCTGATCCGGGGGGTTCTGACTGGTCACTGAGTGTGTTTGTGTGTGCATACTGACAATATTTATGAATGTAGGCATGTATGTATGTATATCTTTATATATGTATGGGTATGTGTATATATTTATATATGCCCTCCATGTATTTATCCATTTATTTTTCAGGTGAGCGGACAGATGTTGGGTGTGTGGTCCTGTGTTTTGTTGGTGTAWATTTAATATACTTCTAATCGCTATTTCAATCTTTCTATCTTTCTAATTACTTCTCTCTCTGTTTTTCTCTCTGTCTCTATTTTCTCTTCACTTAAAAAAGTCACTGATGATGAAGAAATAAATAAACTAAATAAACTAATATTTGGTTTCATTTTCTACTGAAGTGACAAAAAAAAGAAAATTTCATGGCAATATTTTGAAAATTAGGAAAGTTATGAGCAAAAATTGAGGGGGGAAAAACAAACCAAGGTGGGCACAAAGGCCTGATTTGTTCAGTGATGAATAAAGTAAAATAAATAAATTAAAGGGTTTCTAATGTTCCTTTTGAATTTACTATGGTGCTGTATAAAAATTGTATCCTCATCCCTATTTACTTTGACAGGAGGTTTTACTTCACGTGTTTCTGGTCAGAATATATGCAACCATTTTTAAAAGTTGTAGTCCAAATCCATCAAACTTATATTACTGTCTGTTTTGTGTGGTTAACATCAGTCTACTGTCTACAACAACATGATCAGCATGATTTCATGGCTAGATGTGATAAAAAAAAAAAAAAAGATGAAGTTGAGACAAACAAAAAAACACCACTCTTGGTGGAATTCAGCTTCAATCTGGGCCTGTATTTGTGAGCAGTTAAGGTTTGTGAGATTACCCAGAAGCTCCATGGCGTCGTCCTCGTCCTCRATCTCTTCCTCCAGGACAGAGGGGATGTGACTGTTGACCTGGTCAAAAGAGTCCTGGGACAACATGGCAGCCAGGAGCTTCTTGTGATGCTGCTGCTGCTCCTTTAGCCCTTTGCTCTTTGTCTCCATCTTCAGACTGACGAGGGAAAAGCAGAACAGAGCAAGCTAAATACGGCGCTTAAACTGGATTATCTTTTTTTAACGTGTAAACCATTGTTGCTCAGCTAAATTGTGTGTTTTAAACATGAACACGTTTTATTAAGGCCTCAAATAAAAACAACTCCTTTTGCCATCATGTCTTCATCTTCTTATCTGTGAGGTCTGAGCAGTTCGGTTTCTAGCCAGACTAAAACATTGTTTTTGCCTTTAACAACTATAGCCTGCTGTCACCCACGTGTTCAGACTGCGTGGTTGAGTGCCGGGTAAAGAGATGAGATAAAACACCATGCAGTCATTGTAAGCATTGTGCAAAAGCACACATTTCTGTGAGACTGCAGATGAAAAGATGAGATGAGGTGACGAGCAGCAGAGCGATGTTTGGACTACTGACCACAAAATAAAAAAAGGCGTTAAGAGCATGAATCTTTAAAAAAAATTAATAAAAAAACTGCTTTAATCAGCATGTGAGCCAACAATCAGCTCAGAGCAGACAAACATGGGGAAAAATAATTAATTTTTCAACATTAGAGAAATTCAAAGAGGAATCTAAAAACTATGAATCATTTTTTTTTTACTTTCTGAGTCATAAAGAGCAGGAATGACTTTCAGCTTCATTAAAACTTATTTTTTGTTTAGTTCTGTTCTACTTAAAAGTAGATTTCAAAAGCAGAGGTGAACGCCTCATCCTTGATGGAACCATAAAAGCTAGCCTTAAAATTTTAAAACACAGGACTGGTTTTTGCGTTACCAACATCTTGAAGAAATTAATTTTCCTGCTCCATCTGAAGGTGTGGACTGTCGGACCGGAGGGGTGTTCATTTGATGCTAATCTTTGTTTAATGACTCCTATTCCCAGCTAATAGGAAAGGGTCAAAAGATGACTGATGCAGCGTTTCATCATCCTCTCCATGGGGTTTTTGTGCTCATTAGATTAGTTAGTTTAATTCTGCAAAAGCCATTTTCAACACTGGTTCTCCTTTTAACGGTAACATTAGAATCACCTTCATTTTCCCTTTGAACATGAAGGTAAACTTTTATACCATGAAAATAAAATACATCATAAAGTACAAAAAAAAGGGTATGATTAAAAATGTGTTTGTTTTGTCAAGATGAAACAGAAATTTTAATATCTTAAAATAATATAGTTTGTTTTATCAAGATAAATGATTTAAACATTTAGTTATTTCAACTTTTAATTTATCATTAAATACATGAACCAATTTTGARTTCATGTTTAAACAAAGACTTAGTTCATTAGAAATCATGGAAGTCTTTCTGGCGATTGATTCAAGCTGAAAATGTCAACATTAATTAACATCCATCCCTGATTTACTCTACACTGTTAGAGGTCAGGAGTCGTGACAATGATACTGGATGATGTAGCTGGTGGTAACTCAAGAATGCCTCATTTCTCTAATAAAGTTTTGTTATCTCAAGAAAACAAGATCAAACTAACTCGATCATCACAAGATAGAATAATCAGCCTTTGAGCTTCAAAACCAGCAGTTTAACCACTTTAAGGTCAATGAGCTGTGGTGTCAATCACAGGTAAAGTTCAACAGTTTGAAGAATAAAACAATAAAAYGGATAAAAGCAAAATGAGAAAATTCAAACTTATTTGACAAAAATAAAAGTTGACAGGCACCAGAGAGCCAGCATGGATTTATAGGAGGGCACTGCTACTTTTTTTTATTTATCTTTATTTCACCAGGCAAATCCCATTCAGATCACAGATCTGTTTTGCAAGGGAGGCCTGAAGGCACATTAAGGTGCATGTTTTTATTGGTTTATGAAGCATTCAGAAAAAATCCAGGCAAGCACAAACAGGAGCTCCACACAGAAAGACCCCGGGTCCAAACCAGGCTCAAACCTTGCTGYGAGGCATCAGTACTAACCACGAGCCATCACACTGCCTGCTAACAGCTTTCCACTGAAAGATCACCCCTCTAGATCAGGGCTATTCAACTAAATTAACTCCAGGGGCCACAGTTACTGCAGGACWACAGCTGAGGGGCCAAAAATCCAGCAATTAAAGTCATTATGTAAATAAATCAATTATTACAAAATTACCTTTAAAATAGTTTATTTTGCTGTTTTTAATCATGAATACAACATACAGAACCCTATAAAAGTAGCGATAATTAAACAATATCAAAAACAAAAATAAAACATTATGCCTCTTGTATTATTTTGTCTCTTATATTATAATGCCATAAATAATATTTTGGCATCTCTGACTTGCCAAATTTTTTAAAACAATTTTATTTTCACTTTCATATTTTTATCTTCAACTGCCTGTAATTTTAACTATCTTGGATGTGCATGGAAATGTTTTTTACCAGCTTGTAGCCAAGATTCTGATGTTTCTGTGGACACCAAACATGTTTATGTCTAACTAAAATAACAGAGTAATTCAAGTAGAAAACTTGGAGTTTGGGCTTAAGAGATGAATGAACCAATTGGTGGGCCGAACTTTGGTCACTCGTGGGCCGAATTTCTCGCTAGATGAAAAGCTCTGCTCTAGATTATACACTTGTCAGTTTATGTGTCTCAATGTGACATTTTAGCTCGTTAATAAAAACATAAATGATGTGAAAATTGCCTGAATATCCCAAAAATAGTCTGATGTGAGCATCTTCAAAATAAAATTATGAAAACATTAAAAGAAATTATATTTCTGGTCTGATTTCTGTCTGAAATAAAACTTTAGTCCTA